GCCATAGCTCGATATTCTGCTTCTGCACTTGATCTAGCCACTACATTCTGCTTCTTACTGCGCCATGTGACCAGGTTTCCTCCCACAAATGTATAGTAACCTGAGGTTGATTTTCTGTCTCCAACAGACCCAGCCCAATCTGCATTAGTGTAGGCTTCAATTTCAAGTCTACTGTTTTTCCTGAATAGAATTCCTTTCCCTGGGCAAGTCTTCAAGTACCTGAGAATTCTTTCAACTGCTCTCATGTGAGGGATCTTTGGTGAGTGCATGAATTGACTGACAACATGCACTGCATAGGCAATATCTGGCCGAGTAAGGGATAAGTATATCARYTTTCCTACCAATTTTTGGTATCTCTCTCTATCACAGTAGTCCTCACCCATTGATTCTTGTAGGCCATGTATTGTTCTATTGGAGTGTCTGTTGGCCTGCATCCCGTCATGCCTGTTTCCTCTAGGAGATCTAGCACATATTTCCGCTGACATATGTAGATTCCTTCTCTTAATCTAGCAACTTCAATCCCAAGAAAATATCTTAGATTTCCCCAAGTCTTTGATCAAAAATTCTGAAGCTAGGAACTCCTTCAGTCTCTTTATCTCTTCCAAGTCATTCCCGATAATCACCATATCATCCACATAAACAATGAGTGTCATAAGCTTGCTATCCTGTCTCCTTGTAAACAAGGTATGATCTGCACCACTCTGAGTGTACCCCACTTTCTTCATGGCCATACAAAGTCTCTCGAACCATGCCCGGGGAGACTGCTTCAAACCATATAATGCTTTCCTTAGTTTACACACCTTCTTGCCAACATCATAGCCTGGTGGAGGTTCCATGAATACCTCTTCATGAAGATCACCATTTAGGAAGGCATTCTTATTCGAAGTAGTAGAGAAGAGAAGAAGACCTCTGAAATACTGTGAATGTCGAACTGAATAGCTCAGTTGACAATACTGTTATTTATATTATAATGTAGTACAATGATACAAGGAATTACTGGAATGCCCCTGATTAGTGATGGGACACCCAGACAACTTAAAACATTAAACAGACTTAGGCCTATTAACACAGGCCCAGTACAGGATAACTTAAACTTAAGTATAGGCTAATAAGAACTCTTATCAGCCGAACACTCAAACATAAAGAGACTTCAATCCAACAATCATATTTGGTACTTTCTGGACATTACTTTATAATGTCAAGAAAGTATAACTTCAAATCATTGTTAAAAGCAATTTACCAAAAAATCATTGTTAAAACATAAAAACCAAAAAATATCTTTTTGTGGACCCTTGCTTACTTTTACAGTTGATGCAAATGTATAAAAGTGTGGTTCCATGTCTTTTTAATAAATAAAATATAGAAGTTCAGATCATAAACCACCAAAGTTTTCATCTTTCAAGGAAGAAAATGCATGGAACATTCTATAAAGTGAGGAATGCAATCTTATAAATAAACTATTTCTACTAATAAGAAATATAAAGCATGCCAATATATAGGAGTTGTCTAGCATGATCCTATTTGCACAGCCAACATGTGCTGTGCACGATGTTCCTGGATAACCACCTCAGGAGTTCGCAATAAAGGTTTTTATGCTTTTACAAGGCACCTTATTCTATTCTATTGAGATTGCAAGGCATCCCATTCGTTTAATACAATTCATACTCTGACAATATCCAGAATAAATTAGCTCAACCTAGTTCAGAAGTAACTAGTTATTCCCAAACAAAGCTTGGTTCCTCTAATGAGCTAATGTAAAATCCTACTTCATACCTGAAGTATCCGGACCTTGTTATTTTCTCGTGATAAAATCTTACTGATAGCCAAATTTGGAACAACCCTGTGAATTTAACTTCAGGAGAACAAAAAATCAGGAACAAAATTTTATAATATTAGAAGGGTTAAAAAATTAATTATTTAGTATTTACTAAAAAAATTCCAGAAATTCTCTCATTGATTGATCAAGTAAAGATTAGATGCTAAATATTACTTATACCATAACAAATTGCCAAACTTAAGTCATTAAAGATAATGGTAGAAAGACTTGGATTCCTGTACCCAGGATCAACGTTGCAGAAATTTCATAGAATATAGAAATTGATGATTTCAGAAATTGACAAGAAAAGTTTAGAGCATATAATAAAATGCTTCAGCTTTGAAGCATTCTACCAAATGCAGGTGATACATGACAATTCATTTCATGCTTCAGTTAGGCCCCAAGTTCATAAACCATTTCTTAATTGCAAGTAAGAGTGGAACAGACTACAGGGTATCCACTTCTTGGGTTATATCCCCCTAATCTTATGATCATGCAGTTATCCTTTTTCTTTTTATTTTTTTTTAATTTTTTTTTTGAAAATCAATGATTACAATTTTTTTTATAAGTTAAGATTTCATTAATAGAATAAGCAATTCAGGTACAAGCTTCCCATTAAGAGGCACGAGCTGTGTTCTCTCCAAACTGTGTATAAGAGGAAGCACATGAAGATATGGAAAGACAATAGAAATTCCCCTCATCCCCAAATAACAAAAATCAAGTAGGTATAGACTTAGTTCTATATAAGATTGCCTTCCCCATACTGGAAATCTTTCAGATCTTTCTGAGTTAATACAAGGATTCCCTTGGTCATTGGATAAAAACCTATTAACTAGACATTTAATCACCATAATTTTTTAAAATTGGTAACTAATAGATTGTTGCCGTTTGTGCCTTCTCAATAATTTCATAGCTGGTTTCCGTTTATTTGATGTACGATACAAAGGTGCAATAGTTATTTTGATCCTGCATTCTAGGGGTAAACTGCTCATTAATTGAGCCTGTTGTATTTTTATTTCATTCTCTTCATTTTGAATTAACTAGAGAATGACCCCATTTTTTTTATACAAGAGAATGACCCCATATTAAGTACATGGAAATGACACCTATATATCATTTTTTTTATTTTTTTGGTAACAATATCATTTTGTTTGAGATTCACTACTTATCAAGTAATTATATCCAATTTGAGGTTTCTTATTTAATTTAAATAATTAAATAAAGTTTTATTTGTAATATAAAAAAGCCTTTACGATGAGTCTTTTATTTGAATTAGGAAATTGAATTACAAAGATTAATATGGGTCCCACATCTTTTAGAGTGGAGACCTTTTTTATAGGTAACCATGTGTCTAAAGTTAGCTAGGGGTGAATACTTTTTTCTATAGGTAGCATGTGTCTGAATTTAGCACTTTTTCTAAGAGCAGAATTAGCGACTCATTTTTTGAGAGTGGATATGAGGAAGAAAGCTTCTATTTTAGAGTGGAAAGTACCCACTTCTTGGATATTATTTCTTGAAAAAAAAAAGAATGCCATGTGTTTGAAGGATAAGCTCTCTAGTCTGAGGGCTTTCCTTATTTTCCTTATATATACATATATACATATATATATATATATATCTGTGTGTGTGTGTGTGTTTGTGTTCTTGCTATTAATAAGACAAAAGAACCTTGATTTCAGTGAAGTATTTGATGATAATGGTGATAACAGAAACTAGGTTCTGAAGGTTATGAAACACTATATAAAAAACTGATACAAGATATGGAGGAAGAAGATCCCTTGATGAGAAAACTTAAGGACTGAGCCTGTATTGGGATGCATTGACCAACACAGCATCAACTTTGCTGCAAATGTCAGAATTCAGCTAAGCATTCTCAATGAGAAGCATGTATATATAAGAACTTATGAAACTGATGCAAGATGTGGAGGAAGTAACAGAAATAAGCAGCCTTAATGGCAAGTCACATGAGAGAACTCCCACGTCTTTACTAGAAAAAAGGCTAGTTTATTCCAATCACATCTTTCCAAAATTTGGGACACATAAGGAGGCTTTCACACTTTAATATAATTTAAAACAATAATAATTTATTTTCCATTTTCTAATAACTTCCTTTTAAGTAATTCCTACATATCAAAAACATTCATTTTCCATTTTCCATTCTCCTAATCTAATTAGGAGATTATCCAAATCTGATTTGGATCTGGACTCTTTTAAGAGATAAGCATTATTCTCTTAAGAGGATAGGTGCTTCATACCGCCATGCCCACTTTCGACCCAAATTACATGATAACTTAGTTGTCATGTGACAGCTTAACTAATCATATTAGTAATGGGCCTTAAGCCCATTTTTCTTAATGGCTCATGCCCCCAAGTGTTGCATGGCCACTTTGGGCCTGATATTATATGGCATGGGACCCCACAAAGGACTTACATAAGTCCATAAGGGTTCGTCCCTACCCCTGAAAGAGGCTAGGACGAATTCACTACTCAAGGCAGTGAACCCCTGACCCAATCAGTATTGGTTCAGTTTGGGTCCAGCATTTACACCTTAATGATCCTTGGATTAAGCCACCCTATGAAGACCCAAGGACAATGGACTTATGTAAGACAAAGCCCATCAGGTAATCAGCCTTGTAATGGTCTCTTACACTTAACCTCTCGGCCCATAATGATCACAACACTACCTAATAAGGAAAGACCTCTCCCCTGGCTGCAAAGTGCAATGTCACACTCTCTGCTCGGATGGATCCTGAGATTAAAACCTTTTTCATAAAATAGTAGTATAATACACATTTTGCAAAATCAGATATAAAATACGATTTAAATCCGATGTTGACGGTTTAGGTTTCCATCTGAGAAGTGTAAACCCTGATATTCACTTTGTCTGACAAAGGGGCCAATTCTATCACTATGATAACCCACTCAGGTGATTTTCCAAACTGCCCTAACATGCCTAGGTATTTGACTCTTGATGGATCTCACTGGTTGGCACATCAAAGACAGCTCAGTCCAACACCTAATGCAGTACCATAATCAAGTCTGGGGTAAAGTGTAACTTTCCAATGTTGCCCATCTATCTCCAAGGTCCAAGGCATAACTAGAAATAGGTCCGGGTTCAGTGCTTTTGATAAAGACCCACTAGTTGTGCTTGGGGTCTAACCCTAGCAACTGAGACAAGCTACTCTAACTGTTTGGAAGCACACCAGTGTCAACCTTGTCAGGATAAATTCCCCAAGTTTATCCAATGGTTGAGAACATTTTAAACTAACACGAGTCTCTTAAGTATCCAGTTTAAGGGGTAATACATAGAAAACATACAAATATGAACATGAAACAACAATGTACTTTACTCATTTGCAAATAAATGTTTATGTACATCAATTTGATTGGAGCTAAGGGCATACACAGTCTAACACTAATTCCTCCAACAACCCCTCTAAGGTAGCAAAGTATGTTGCTACAGACATGGCTAATAAAGTGTCGATCCACTTCAATATGTTTAGTTCTGTCATGTTGAACCGGGTTATAGGCAATATTAATAGCAACCTGTTTATCACAATACAACATCAAGGGATTCTCATAAGCAATACCCAGTTCTTCAAATAGAGATCTCAACCATAAGATTTCAGCCACACCATTAGCCATAGATCTGTATTCAGCTTTAACATTGGAACGAGCAACAACATTCTATTTTTTACTTCTCCAAGAGAAAAGATTTCCTCCTATAAAGGCACAATACCCAAAGGTGGATCTCCTATAATCAACACACCCAGCCCAATCAACATTTATGTAGACTTCTATTTTCATGTGATCATTATCCTTGAAGAGTATGCCTCTACCTAGACATCTCTTCAGATAAGCAAGGATCCTTTCAACCACAAAAAGGTGAGTGGTTCTGGGGGAATGCATGTACTAGCTAACAACACTGACAACATAAGAAATGTCCGGTCATGTGAGCAAAGATAAAGAAGCTTCCCAGCCAACCGTTGAAACATAACCTTGTCTTCAAGGGGCTCTCCACCTTCTGCACTTATCCTACGATTCTTTTCAATAGGTGTGTCAATAGGTTTAACTCCTAGTTTTCCATTTTCTTCCAAAAGATCGAGAACATACTTCCTTTGGGAGACAAAAATCCCATGTTTGGACTATGCTACTTCAATTCCCAAGAAATACCGTAGCTCTCCCAAATCTTTGACCTCAAACTCTTGGTGAAGCAATTGCTTAAGAGAGTCAATTTCACGGGTATCACTATCTGTCATAACAATGTCATCGACATATACAGCAAGTAGAGTCAAGGAGGAATCCATCTTCTTAATGAAAAAAGTGTGATCTGACTGGGCCTGTACATAGCCGAATTTTTCAAGGACCTATCTAAATCTATCAAACCATGCTCTGGAGATTGTTTCAGTCCATATAAGGCCTTATTCAATCAGCAAACCTTCTTCCCCGCTTCTACATTATAGAATCCGGGAGGTAACTCCATATACACCTCTTGCAAATCACTATTGAGGAAGGCGTTTTTGACATTCATTTGAAATAATAGCCATGAGAAATTTGCTACAATGGATAGTAGAACTTTGATAATATTCACCTTGGCAACCGGTGCAAAAGTCTCCAAATAGTCTATGCCATATGTCTGTGTAAACCCCTTTGCAACTAATCTGGACTTATATCTTTCAATAGAGCCATCAACATTATGTTTCACTGTAAACACCCATCTGCACCCAACATGTTTCTTCTCTTTAGGTTGTTGATCAACTAACTCCCATGTATTGTTTTTTAGAAGAGCATCCATCTCCACCTTCATTGCATCCTTCCACTCAGGTGCTGACAAGGCTTCTTGCACTGTTTTGGGAATGGTAATAGCAACAATAGATGCCAAAAAAGACTTATAGGATGAAGACAAGTGATCATAAGAAAGAAACTAAGAAATACAATGGGTTGTAAATGAGGTACAACAGTGCTTCCCCTTACAAACTGCAATTGGAAGATCAAGGTCATCCAAACGAGGAAGGGAAGGCTCA